TGTGCTCTGTTTTAAGCTAAGTTTTGGAGTGATTTATTACATGGCAATAGATAACGAACACACTCTTCCTTCCTGCTTCTATGAATTTACATTCTGTCTTGTTTCACAAAGATTTTCATAGTCTTAAGAACACACTTATTAATCAGTTTGTGCACAGGTGATGTAACTGATCTGAGAAATCACTCCCAGGCTTCCTGAGAGCCCGAAGACAAAGGAGACACAACAGACTACAAGTTCTGCCTGCTCTCCTGCACAAACTCAAACAGGAGATGAACAGGTGGCAAGGGGACTGTTCTCAGAAAGCTAAAAAATATTACAGAACCCCAAATTACCTTTTCAACACAATTTGAAGCAATCTATTTGTAGCATCTCATAGTGTTCCTTAGTTTTGTTTACTTTCTTCACAACTGAACCTGTAATAGATTAGTCTGAATTCACTGAAGCTAAAGGGTTTGCTGGGTTTTGCCTACCTATGACTCCCCCCTTGCCTCACCTATCCTAGGGTTAAAAGACTTATACATCTTACCTCTCACAGGAACACTTACTTTTTCATTTTCCATCTATTTGCAAGAAACAAGAAGGGCAAAATAATAATAAAACCCTTAAATAACCTGTAGACTGAGAAGACAGTGCTGGGACAGGGAACATGGCCACATACCTGCCCAGGAGCGTGTCATTTCAGGGGCTCACCTAGGTCACATGCAGGTGACAGCCTGTGCCCTCTACACTCACAAACACTCACACCAGCTGAGAAGCCACACTGCCATGGACTGGCCCAAGGTGCCATTCTCACTGGTGGTGCTGTGAGCTGCACCTTGAGGTTGGGTCACTTGCTCCATCTTCTGGAAGAAGCTGGCTGGGGTGGGTGGGTTGGGGGTGCCACTTCTCTGAGGGCTTGCACTTATGGGCAAAGGCGGCACCTCAGCATCCATGCCCACTACCTCCTGGCTGGCATCTGCACTCTCAGACCAGCCAGCAGCACTGGCACCCTGGGGTCTGGCTGTGACTCGGCCATGGGCCCCCTGCCCTGCTGAGTAAAGCCCCCAGCTAGCTCCCAGATGCTCTACTACTTTCTATCCCCCTCTTAGGACGGATGGGAGCCTCTGGGCTCTGTGGGGACAGAGGGGCCTGGGAGAGCTGGACAGAGGCTCTTTCTGAGCCCAGGTCTCCTGTGCCCTGGCTGCTCCAGCAGGGAGCTGGTGCCATGCGACACCCTCCCTGTGCCCTGGGCAGGCAGTGGGGCAGGGACACCCCTAGCCCTCCCCTCCTGGCCCCCACACCTGCCCACACATGCCCTCCCTGCCCTAGGCCACTTCCTGGTATGTGAATAAGAAGCGAGCTAAAAGAATTTGGAAAATACGTTCTTCTGGTTTCCCCTTCTTGTCTCATTGCAGTATCTTTACCTGGCAGTGGAGCTGAACATGAGCCTTCCATCCCTCGCACTCTGCCTGGGACGACCCTGAGCGCCCCCTAGAGACACGACTTCCTCCAGGGAGTCCTGGGCGCCCTCTGCCTCTTTCATCCTCAGCCTCCTCGGCCATTTCCCGCCCATCTGACTTTGGGGTAGAAGCCCCAGCGGCGCGGGCAGCACGTCCAACCCTGCGGGTTCCTCACTGGCCGCGGTGCGGGCGAACCCCGGGGAACCCCCAACCTGCCCCCCGCTCCCCCCCAGTCTCGGGGCGTCCCCAGACTGCCCTCTCGTCCCCTCCGAGCGCAGCAGCTGGCCCAGGCAGCTCGGCGGCGCCAGGGATCCAGGGCAGAGGCTTCCGCTCCGTGGTCCCCACCGCGGATTCCGACCACAGCCGTCCCCCGCCCTCTCCAGCGGGCCCTGTGCAGAGCCCGGACCCGGCCCACGCGGGGACGCCACCCTTCGCAACTAGCATGGGCTGTTTGGCCCCCAGAGAAGCCCTACGTCTCTCAGGAGGGGCATCTCCTGAGCATATGTGGCTGATTAGCAAATAAAAATCCAGGACACACTGTTAAATTTGGTTTCAGATTAACTGCAAGTAATTTTTATTTTAATTGTGGCAAAATACACATAACATAAAATTTATCATCTTAACCAATTTTGAGTGCACAGTTCAGTGAGGTAAGTACATTCATGATAGTGTGGAGCCATCACCACCATCCGTCTCCAAAACTCATCCAACAAAACTGAAACCCTGCGGCCATTAAACAACAGCTTCCCTCCCGCGGCGGCAACCACCATTCTACTTTCTGTAGCTATGAATTTGACTGATAGGACCTCATAGAAGTGGCATCGCATAGAATTTGTCTGTTTGTGACTGGCTTATTTCACTTAGCATAATGTCCTCAAGATTCATCCATGTTGTAGCATGTGTCCGAATTTCCTTCCTTTTTAAGGCTGAATAATATTCCTTTGTGTGTATAGCCCACATTTTGCCTACACATTTGTGAACTTGCACAGTTGTGCTGCTTCCACCTTTTGAGAATTGTGAATACTGCTGCTATGAACATCGGTGTGCAAATATCTCTTTGATACTGTGTATCTTAATCATACTGCTTATAACAAAACACCTGAGACTGGGCAATTTTTAAAGAACAGAAAGTTATTTCTTACGGTTCTGGAGGCTGGGAATCCAAGATCAAGGTGCGGCATTTCGCGTCTAGTGAGGGCCTTCTCACTGCATCCTCACTTGGTGGAAGGCCAAACACCGTCCTCACGAGGTGAGAGGTGGAACAGCAAAAGGGGCCCAGCCAATTCCTTCCAGCCACTTAATCGCCTAATGGCCCTATCTCTCAATACTATCACCTCGGGGTTTAAGTTCCAACATGAATTTTGGAAGGGACACAAACATTCAAATCATAGCACCGGGGTTTCAATTCTTTGGGGTATACACCCCAAGTGGAATTGCTGGATCATGGCGTAATTCTACTTTTAAATTTTTGAGGAACCACCACATTGTTTTCCACAGTGGCTGCACCATTTTACATTCTCACCAGCAGTGCACAAGGATTCCAGTTTCTCCACATCCTCACCAATACTTGTTATTTCCTGGGTTTTTGGTTTTTTGGTTTTTGTTTTTCTTTTTGTTTTTTGATAGTAGCCATCCAAATGGGTGTGATACTACAAGTGGTTTTTTAGTATAAGTAATTTCCCCCCAAATATTCATCGTTTATCTGAAATTCAAATGTACCTGAGCTTCCTATATTCTATCTGATGACGCTAGCAGAGCAGGAGGTGCCACTCTGACCCTGAGATCTGCTAAGCGGATGTCATCTGACTGAGGTATCAGAGTATTAGACCAGCTTGGGCCTGAGGGCCTACAGGGCTGGCAGGGTGAGGATGAGAGGCAGGTGGAGCAGAACCATCCCACCCCACCTGGCAGCATCCAGCCAGGACAGGTGGACCACCCAGCACACCACCCATGTGGTGGGCACGGAGGTTTATGTCTGTGTTCTGTGGCATTATTGTAGCAGTTGATAGCTGACACACCAGGAAAACCCAAGGAAGATCTCTAGCTCCAGCTCCTCCCTCCGGGGCTCTGCCCTAAGCCAACCCTAGGTGGAAAGAGCCACTCTGCCACCTTCCAGGGGTTCCATTAACACACATGCATCTCAGACCTAAAAATCACCATTTATCCAAAAATTAGCAGTTTTAGTTGATTTGTAAAAGGAAGAAAAGAAAGAGGGAGAGAGAGAGACTTGAAAATAAATTCCAGGTATTTTTAAATCCAAAAAGCTTAAAACTTTTAGAAAATAGGAGAAAATCTTTATGAAATCAGAGAGGAGATGGAATTCTTAAGAATGATGAAAAAAAAAAGCACAAAATCATGAAAGATTTATAAATATGACCATAGCAAATACTTCTATCTAACAAAACACCCCATAAATAAAAAGAAAAGAGAAGGCTCTGGCTAGGAGAAGACCCTGCAACACAGGACCAGAGAGGGTTACTACACAGAATGCTAAATATGAATTTTAGGGGAACATACTCAGTGCAAAGCTGAGAATGCTTGTAGCAGGCAGTTTTTAATAGCAAGATATGAGGGGCGGAGGGGAAGAAATTGAATAGCCACCAACAGGAGAAAATATATAAATGGTGGCATATTCATATAATGAAATGTTATGCAAGCGGTTCAAATGAATGAACAAAAGCTATGAGCATCAACACAGATAACACCCAAAAACATTTTGGGCAAACAGAGCAACTCAAAGCTTCACCATTTGTAAAACAAGAGCATGGACTATTTCGTGCTGCTGAAACATGCAGTAAAAGTATGAGCAGTGAGCCTACGTGTGGCGGGGAGAGCGGGACCATGGCAGGGGGCCGCACACGCCACACTTGCATGCATTTCCGTGGTGCTTTGCTTTGTCAAAGGCTAGAGAGACCATGAGTATTGCATGGGTCAGGGTTCCGGTTGAGCGACACCCTGAGCAAGACGTATCACCTGTGGGGACAAGGTGCCCGGATCTGGAGGGTGATCAATATGCCCGGACAGAGGCAGCCATAGACACTTGCACGTACGGAGCTGCTTTCCTCATTACAAAGACATGTGTGAACTGCAAATCATGAATGTGGGGTGTGAGCATTGACACATAAAATCTATTCATTGTTTTCACATCCGTTAATATTTAAAGATTTGTCGAAAATCTTTCTTAATTATGTAAATCCTGATTTTTCTAATATGAAAAGCAATATTCAATTAATTCACTTGTATAGAAATAAAGCATGTTCTAAGATATATGTATCAGCTTTCTAAAATCATGGCATACTTTGACTACCTTAAATAATATGCTAAATGCTAAATCTTCATGCCACAAACTCTTGTTTCTATTTTTATTATCTTTTGGAGCTAAATTATCATATTTTAGAAATATCATTCAACCAGAACAGGCCAGGAGAGTGATCAAACACTGGAAAGATTCTTGTAAAATTTCTGAAAATTTTTCCCACAGCAAATGTAGGGGAACTGTGCTCATGGAAACCCAATATCTGTGAATTCCACATTTATAATATAAAGCTATTTTACACTCACCTTCCTGTCATGAAAAATGAGCCAAAATCCTGTCTTGCAGGAGCCCAGCAGCTCTGCCCCGCAGCCCCGCTGGGACAGGGGCTCGAAGGGTCTGCCCGGCCAACTCCCTGCAGAGGCCTGCACTTGCTGGCAGCTGGTCCCTCAGGCTCTGGCCCTCCAGGGCCTGCACAAGTCCCAGCAGACGTCTGATGCAGCTCCACCTCCAGTGTGCCGGACGCCAGCCTGCCATCTCTGCTCTCTAGATGCATGTTCTGTTGCCAATCTTCTCTCTATGGTCAGCCAGAAAGAAACCACTGTTGATGAAAAGCAAACCGGGAATATAGCACCTTGGAAAATCTATAGTATACCAATGGTACAATAGGAAGGCCACTTATCACGAGGTCCTTCCAGTGGTCCAGCCTTCTAATATCACATGGGAAACAGTGTGTACTCATCTCCATGAATGAACATTTCAGCACATCTAGCATGAGCAAGGACCTAAGTATTTAGCACAGAGCATTTAGTTAAGTAAATGGTGATAAGTGCACAGTACTAGGCAACCATAAAAATGATCTAGAAGGATATTCGCTGATACTGGGAAATGCTAAGGATATGGAAAGGAAAATTGATACATTGTGATGTTTTTATTGAAATTAATATGTATAAATTATATGTATAGGACAGAAGACCAAAAAGACACACCCTCCAAACCACAGCTTCC